CCCTGGGTTTAGTAATATTTAAAATGGAAGAAAAAACCCCAAAAAGGAGTAGTACATTTTTAGTGAGTGTAGATTGTTACAGTGTTAATAATTAAAGCTGAACTTCAGCCAAGCAGCTAAATATGCAGTTAAAATGCATACATGGGAACTATATTGTCTTACAAAACATTTGCATATCTGTCCATTCAGTTTTGAGATTTGCACACCTCTGTTACACAACACAGCCATGTATAGCAGGAAAGAAGACCCAAGACAGGGACTGCAAGAGGCTGGTAGTAAGTCAGATTCTGGTACCTACACTCCGTGCATTTTTTTAAAAGTACATTAATACATTCAGGGCCAACTTACTCTCAATGATAAGTCTATTGAAACAAAGGCAACTCTACAGGTTTATAAAATACAAAACGGAGTCTGTAAAGCATAACTTTACACACAGGGGCGGACTGACCATTTGGAAACTCGGGCACTGCCCGAAGGCCCGGGGTCAGTAGGGGGCCCCATGAGATGCCCCTGGTACCTTTTTCATAGGCTTTTTTGAGTTTGGGCAAGGACACAGGGGCCCCATGATCCCCTATTGCCCGGGGGCCCCATGAGTTGTCAGTCCGCCCCTGGTTACACAAGGCTCATTTGCACATGCAGGTTCTTGTGCAGTCCAGTTTTGACACCCCTTTCATATGAATGGGCTTCAAAATGCAGGGAAATATGCAAAAAGTAGTGCAAACACTGCAATCACACTGCACCAAACTGGATGGTACTGCGGTACCATGTGGTTTGGTGGCCTCATATGCAGCAACTTTTTGGGGTGCCATTATCAAATTAGTGACACCCGCACACATCTCATAAGGGCAGCATGTTCATGTGCAGTATGGGAAACACATGGAATGCACCTATTCCACAGCACATTTTGGTGTAAACGGACTATAATATATTAGCATGTGTTAATGATTAAAAATCTGCATTTGTCTATTTTAACAAAGCAGAAACATAACTAAGTAGTCTGTGTAGACTGGATATTCCATAATACTAGTCCCTCACAGTTTATTTATTTATTTCAGGTACTTATATAGCGCCGTCAATTTATGCAGCACTTTACATATATATTGTACATTCACATCAGTCCCTAACCCTCAAGGGGTGTACAATCTAAAGTCCCTAACTCACATTCATACATATACTAGGGCCAATTTAGACAGGAGCTAATTCACCTACCAGCATGTCTTTGGAGTTCGGGAGGAAATCGGAGTACCCGGATTAAACCAACGCAGGCACAGGGAGAACATGCAAACTCCAGACAGGTGGTGCTGTGGTTGGGATTTGAACCGACAACCCTAGTACTGCCAGGCAGAAGTGCTAACCATTTAGCCACTGTGCTGCCATTACCTCCTTGGGCTCACAAGTTCATATCACTTTATACAAAAGACTTTTTAAATTAATGAGTGCTAATGCTTTCAACACTGCTCAAGCAGTAAGTTATAGGAAATTGAATTAAAAATAATACAGACTGGTACATAAGCTCAAAATGTTGACCTCTCCACAGGGATCTCAGGAATAGTGCTGAAGTGCTAAATATAATTAAAGATCTCACTTTGAGCTTAGTAAGAAAAAGTAAGTACATGGCACCTGTTGACCTTAATATACACAATATTGCCAAAAGTATTGGTCGGCCTGCCTTTACACGCACATGAACTTTAATGGCATCCCACTCTTAGTCCGCAGGGTTCAATATTGGCTTGACCCACCCTTTGCAGCTATAACAGCTTCAAGTCCTCTGGGAAGGCTGTCCACAAGGTTTAGGAGGGTGTCTATGGGAATGTTTGACTATTCTTCCAGAGGCACATTTGTGAGGTCAGGCACTGATGTTGCACAAGGAGGCCTGGCACATAGTCTCCTTTCTAGATCATCCCAAAGGTGTTCTATCAGGTTGAGATCAGGACTCTGTGCAGGCCAGTCACGTTCCTCCACCCCAAACTCGCTCATCCATGTCTTTATGGACCTTGCTTTGTGCACTGGTGTGCAGTCATGTTGGAACAGGAAGGGGCCATCCCCAAACTGTTCCCACAAAGTTGGGAGCATGAAATTGTCCAAAACGCCTTGGTATGCTGATGTCTTAAGTATACCCTTCACTGGAACTAAGGGGCCAAGCCCAACCCCTGAAAAACAAACCCCACACCATAATCCCCCCTCCACCAAACTTTACACTTGGCACAATGCAGTCAGGCAAGTACCATTTTCCTGGCAACCGCCAAACCCAGACACATCCATCAGACAGAGATGTGCGATTCATCACTCCAGAGAACATGTCTCCACTGCTCTAGAGTCCAGTGGTGGCGTGCTTTACACCACTGCATCTGATGCTTTGCATTGCACTTGGTGATGTAAGGCTTGGATGCAGCTGCTCGTCCATGGAAACCCATTCCATGAAGCTCTCTGTACATAATCTGAAGATAACATGAAGTTTGGAGGTATTTAGCTATTGACTCCGCAGACAGTTGGTGACTTCTGTGCTCTGTACGCTTCAACTTGAGCTGACCCTGCTCTGTCATTTTACGTGGCCTACCACTTCATGGCTGAGTTGCTGCTGTTCCCAGTTGTTTCCCACTTTGTTATAATACCACTAACAGGTGACTTTGGAATATTTAGTAGCAAGGAAAATTTTGTGGATGGACTTATTGCACAGATGGCAACCTATCACAGTACCACGCTTGGAGTCACTGAGCTCCTGAGAGTGACCCATTCTTTCACAAATGTTGGTAGAAGCAGTCTGCATGCCTAGGAGCTTGATTTTATACAACTGTGGCAATGGAGGTGATTGGAACACCTGAATCCAATGATTTGGAAGGGTGTCCCAATACTTTTGGCAATATAGTGTATTTGAACAGGCAAAAATCAGATTTTCATTCAAATAGTGACTAAAGATACTTGAAAATGAATACACCATGCCAATTGTGTGTCATTTGTTCAAGACCTTAATTTAAAAAAAAAAAAAACAGCAGATTTGTCATACGGAAAAAAAGTACAAACACTACTATATGACAACTTCAACTTCAGATCCATGAAATTAAAATATAGTCTTCCAGGTTAGGAGCCAATGATTGGAACCTCCTTAAGAAGTATGCAGGTAGAAAATGTTTTATTTAAACTTCACACATTTATGGTAGTATCCAACTTTGCTATTGATGTGTTGCGTCATCATGCCAAAATCAATAGAGCTCCCTAAGGCTCTTAGAAACAAAGTGGATGCTTGAGCATCTGGTAAGGGATTTAAAGAGCTTGTCAAAGGACTTCAAATCAATGATTTCGCTCGAAGAAAAATAATGTTCAGGGTGTAGACATCAAACAACTGTTAATGTGCCCAGGACTGGCTGGCCCAGCAAATTCAACCCAAGAGCTGACTGATGCTTAAAAAAAAAATTTTTTAAAATTACCCAAGAAACCCAAAATTTCATGGTGGGTGTTGGGCAACTCTTGCAACAATTGAAGTCAAAGTGCATGTATCTACAATCAGAAAATGCACCAATTCAACCTGCTTGAGGTCTGTGTTAAGGAAAAGCCTTGGCAGTCTGCCTACATGTTCAATGGATGAGGTTTTACTGTAATATTTCTTGATACCCAGAAGAGCAACTGTCCACCAAGGCTGCATATCTACAGAGGGACTTTCTTGCACAGACTGCAATACAGTTCTACTTTGAGAAGGTTGTCCTTAATTGTGCATAGTTGGAGTATGCCACTATATCCCTTCCCTATCCCAGTTCCAAAAAACAAATAAGGCAAAAAAACAAAATACAACCCCTAGATTGATCATTGGAGTAACAAGCAAAAGTTGTGTGCACCTGACTAAAGAAATGCGGTGTGCTTGACTGGGGGAGGAAATGTAGGGGAAAGCCTGGGCAAGACACAAGCAGCTCCTGTAGGGGTAGCGCTACATCTAAATGTGTCATCCTATACATTCATGATATCTTACAATATCTATTTATGTCCTTCTATACATTTATGCCAATTCACTTACCAAAATTTACTTTTTTATTTTATGTACCGCATTTTTTCGCTCCATAAGACGCTCTTTACCCCCCAAAAAAAATTGGGGGAAATGTCTGTGCGTCTTATGGAGCAAATATGAAGTGGCCGGCCCCGTATTCCCACTGCCGCTCTGTCAAAATACCAGGGTGGCCGCTTGTCTCTTCCCTGCAGCAGAACCTTACCTGTTCCTCAGTCCAGTGGTGTCCTCACCATCTTCTCTCCTGGCACCAGCATCTTTAGTGTGGGCACACGGCTATGACAGCTTATGGCTTCACAGCCAGGTGCCCACTGCGCATGCGTGAAAAGTGCTGTGCATTGTGAATGGCCCAGCAGTCTTCTGGGAGCTGCCACTTGTCCTAGAAGACAGGGAGGAAGGACAACTCTGCGGAAGTGGGAGCGGGTACCTGTCAAGTTCGGGTACCCCCCCCAAAGGTCTTCAGTCTCTGCTCATCTCCTGTACTGTGTCCACAGTCTCTGATCTCCTGTAGTGTGTCCGCAGCCTCTGCTTATCTCATGTAGTGTGTCCACAGTCTCTGATCATCTCCTGTAGTGTGTCCGCAGCCTCTGTTTATCTCATGTAGTGTGTCCACAGTCTCTGCTCATCTCCTGTACTGTGTCCGCAGTCTCTGCCATCTCCTGTTCTGTGTCCGCAGTCTGTGCTCATCTCCTGTACTGTGCCACAGTCTCTGCTCATCTCCTGTACTGTGTCCGCAGTCTCTGCTCATCTCCTGTAGTGTGTCCGCAGTCTCTGCTCATCTCCTGTAGTGTGTCCGCAGTCTCTGCTCATCTCCTGTACTGTGTCTACAGTCTCTGGTCATGTTCTGTAGTATATCCGCAGTCTCTGGTCATCTCCTGTACTATGTCCGCAGTCTCTGGTCATCTCCTGTACTGTGTCCACAGTCTCTGCTCATCTCCTGTACTATGTCCACAGTCTTGCTCATCTCCTGTACTGTGTCTGCAGTCTCTGCTCATCTCTGTACTATGTCCGCAGTCTTTGGTCATCTCCTGTACTGTGTCCGCAGTCTCTGCTCATCTCCTGTACTGTGTCCGCAGTCTCTGCTCATCTCCTGTACTGTGTCCGCAGTCTCTGCTCATCTCCTGTACTGTGTCCACAGTCTCTGCTCATCTCCTGTACTGTGTCTACAGTCTCTGGTCATGTTCCGTAGTATCTCCGTATCTCTGTTGTCTCCTATAGTATATCCGCAGTCTTTGGTCATCTCCTGTACTGTGTCCGCAGTCTCTGCTCATCTCCTGTACTGTGTCCGCAGTCTCTGCTCATCTCCTGTACTGTGTCCACAGTCTCTGCTCATCTCCTGTACTGTGTCTGCAGTCTCTGGCCATCTCCTGTACTGTGTACAGTCCTGGTCATGTTCCGTAGTATGTCCGCAGTCTCTGGTTGTCTCCTATAGTATATCCGCAGTCTCTGGTCATCTCCTGTACTATGTCCGCAGTCTCTGCTCATCTCCTGTACTGTGTCCACAGTCTCTGCTCATCTCCTGTACTATGTCCACAGTCTCTGCTCATCTCCTGTATTGTGTCTGCAGTCTCTGGCCATGTCCTGTACTGTGTCCTGCAGTCTCTGGTCATGTCCTGTAGTATGTCCTCAGTCTCTGGTTGTCTCCTGTACTATGTCCGCAGTCCCTGCTCATTTCCTGTACTGTGTCTGCAGTCTCTGCTCATCTCCTGTACTGTACTAAAAAAAAAAAAAAACACTTTTTATATTGCAGCCTACCAATTCTTAAATATGGTGGCTGCTTTCGTTTTCTTATTTTAAGCTTTTTTCCCCATTTATTTTCACCTGGTGATATGATTGGTAATTGTTATTTTTCATCTTCCTGTAACAGACCAAGCTGGGCAGCAAAAGTGGCAGTTAGAGGGTGAAGACAAACCATTTAACAGTGTTTACAGCAATTCAGCTTTAATTAGCAAAGTGAATCTAAATGTATTAGCCCATCTAAAACTAGCCCCCAACCCCAGATTTGCAATACTGCTGTCCAAAAGGCGTCTCTGTTCTTCATCCGGAGCGGAGACACCTTAAGCCAGCAACTGGCCGAATCACCCCTAGAAAATAAAGGAAAAAAGTCCCAAAAAAGCTGCAATATATAAAATTTTTTTTTTAGATTTAATATCTTTAAGTGGAGTTCCAGCTGATTTAAAAAAAAAAAAAAAAAGTCAGCAGCTACAAAAACTGTAGCTGCTGACTTTTAAACTACAGCCACTTACCTGTCCCTCGGTACAGCGGTGTCCTCACCATGGCTGGTTTCACCGACTGTCTTCTCTTCCTGGAGCCAGTCAGTGTGGACACCCGGCTGTGACAGCTTGCAGCTTCACAGCCGGGTGCCCACTGAGCATGCGCGAGAAGCGCTGTGCTTTGTGAATGGCCCCGTAGTCTTCTGGGACCTGTCATGTGTCCCAGAAGACTACGGGGAGGGAGGGCAATTTCCACTTCCAATGACCTTAAACGATCGCAGCAGAAGTGGGAGCGGGTACCTGTCAAATTCGGGTTCCCGCTCCCAAAGGTGCCAATCCTTAATGGGGAGCGGGGGAGAATGCATTAAAGCGGAACTTTCTTTTGGGTAGAGCTCTGCTTTAAATTAGAAAACTGATGACATGTAGCTGCCCTTTAATGATAACTCATTCAGTGAATTGTGAACTCACCAGTGAGACATTTAGTAAGTGACAAAACATGCCTATCGTGTCAAAGGAAGGTTTTCCAGAGCAGACTGTGCACCTTACAGTCGTGCTGGCTGATGAATACATGTTCAGTTATTATTGTGTTCTGATCTCATAGTTACAATAGAGTGCTGTGGTTACAATGGCGCACCATTGTAACGAAGAACAATATCACCCTTCCAGGACACTTTCTTTGTTCCTCCACTAAGCAGTACACACAGTGATTATATATACAGAAATAAAAAAGCAAGAAGGCAAACATATTGGACATGTAAGCAGCGGGATGCAAAACCAGCATGACAGAGTATCAAGTGACAATAACTATAGAAGAAGAAAGGAAGCACTAAGAGGTGAAAGACTAGAGATGATCCATTGTTTCATAACAATGAAAGCTCAAAAGGATGGTTTATGTAAGATCAGTTTAAACAGCTTGCATAGGTGAATATTAAAGTAACAATTGGCAAAATAAAAAATGACACACAGTACGATGCAGTCTATCACCAGCATTAAGTCCTCATGCACACGGGACGTTTTTACAGCTGCTGTTTTTGGCTTTTGGCATTTTTTTTCCACAGCCAGTAAAGCCCCCAGCATGTTATCCTATGTGTCCATGCACACATAGACTGTAATCAACGTTTTTTTGGCAGGGGCATTTTTTGTGGTTTTATAGAGGAGTTTAGCTGTAAAACGCTCTAATGCTATAAAACGCGGCAAACTGAGATTTTTGGATTTTTTTTTTAGCAAAAAAAAAATTTCTTGTGTAAAAAAAGCTAAACAACCGCAAACGCGGTTAAACACTAATGCAAAACCGCAAAAGCTCTGAAAAACTTGCGTTTTTTAACGCGACTCTACCAGCGTTATTAAAACACTCAGCGTGCATGGAGCCTAAGAGTTATGAATGGACTCTGAAAAAAATCTTTATTACCAATTGATCTAACCAGCATATCCTTTATTACTGCCTGATCCTACCATTTTTTTACTACTTCCCGTAGCATGACGAGATCACGTTCAGCAAAATTGACAGTTACAATGATTTGGGCAAACCACAGAACACTGATAGGGGTGCTTACAATGTTAAAAAAAAAAAATTGTTGATATAACTGCTTAACCTCTTTGTGCCGGTGCCTCCCGGCCCTTTAAGGGTTTCAGAAGCCGGGAGGCGAGGTGTGGTTTAGGGTCACATGATCGGGAAAGGTCCTGATCGAAAGAGGAGATCGGGACCTTTCCGCGAGTACCGGACATGTGTGCTAGGAGCGCGAAGGGCGCGCACTCTCAGCGCATATGTTGTTTTTTTTAATGGAACGCAAATGTGTGGCTGTTCGGCATCTAGGCCCAGATGCCGGGAAGCCGCACATTTGCGTTCGGCCAGCGTAAAGCGGTTAAAGAAAGGTTTGTCTCAAATTAATTTGTCCCTTCATTAAAGTGGAGCTCTGGTCAAAACTAAAAAAAAAAAAAAAAATAAAGTCAGCAACTACAAAAACTGTAGCTGCTATCTTAAAATAGATTAAAAAAAGACGACACTCTTCTGTCCCTCAATCCAGCGCTGTCTTCACTGCAACCGGTTTCACTAGTTGTCCTCTTTCCTGCACATGTGCGAGTAGTGCTGCACCTTGTGAATGATCCCGTAGTCTTCTGGGACCTGTTGGGGGGGGGGAACTTTTGCTTCCAATCACCTAGGTAAATCGCAGTAGAAGTAGGAGCAGGTACCTGTGAAATTCGTGTGCCCCCTCCCCCCCAATCCTCAAAGGGGCCAATCCTTAAAAGGAAGTGGGGGACAAAGCTTTAAAGCGGAACTTGCCTTTTTGGGTGGAGCTCTGCTTTAAAGTGGTAGTAAACACATCAATATAAAAGGTTTAAAAAGAGTTACATTACTAGCATGCCAGAAATGTCGTCACCCTTGCTTGTGCTCTCAACCCAACGATCAAGCCATCAAATGGCTGAAGTCATAACTGATCACATGTGCAGCACTATGGCAGTTGCAGATCAAACAGATACCAAGATGGCAGCTTCCTTGGCTAAAAAAAGATAGAAGGGTTTAGTTCCACTTTAACCTCTTGCTGTCCACGTAACACACATGTGCGACAGCAGAGAGGGTAGGCTTTTAACTCCCACACATATGCATCCATGTACAGCTGAGTTTTTGTCCCAAGAACACACTTACTGCACCCTCCCAGTACAGTGATCAAGCTGTCAAAGATGCTAGCAATGGGAACTGGTGGGACTTGCTCTGGATCATGTGACCATTGTGACAGCCGTGCCGGATGAAGGAGTCCTGCGAGACTCCAAAATGTTGCCTTGTTGTAACTATGTGATTGTTCATTAAAACGTATGGACCCATATTGGTGATCCTCGGTGTGCTGGTGACCTTCTCCCTGGCTGGTTCTGTTTGGTTCTAGCCGACGGTCGCTGCAGCACCCATTTGTACACACAGCCATTTTTAATGCAGGAACGTGTGTGTTTGGATTGTACACTTGCACTGTGACAGCCAATCACAGTGATCACATGGTAGTCCTTTCCACCCCCAGAGAGGAAAGGACATTCAGAACTACATATCCATCAAAGATTACCCCTATACTCAGGGTGATTACTACTCCAGCCTAAAGCAATCTATATTTTTAGACACTGTTCCACTGGCTTTGTAGCACTACTCCCTTAGGACTCGCTAGAGATTTGGGTCCCCCTATAGTCCTGCACAGCCAGGCAACACACATTCCTCACAGACTTGCATCCAGAAGGCAGTAAACAGTCTAAGCATGAGGTTTTTTCATTTTATTAGAGGTGTTTAAACTTGGGTGGGGTAAGGGGTGTATGGGATGCCCAAGGGAACTACAACTTCCCAGAACTATGTACAAGGACAACTTCCAAGAACTATGTACAAGCAAAACCTCTTAATCGAGAGCTCACCAGCCTCTCCTGGTGTACCATCCCAGACCCCAGATAATCCTCCTCCTATCCAGCTGCTTGAGGGTATCCCTGAGCAAGGCAATCCAATGCCTGCCACTTTATATGAAACAGTGCCAGGCAAGGAGCTAATCAGGTTTCCCAGCAGAAGGCTTTTTTCCTTAACTGGCCCCAGGGGGTGTAGGATTCCCTGTTCCTATAAGCTGGTGGCTTGGTAGCTGATTTCAGCCTTCCGCTGGGCTAGCTCCTTTCCATGCTGCACAGGCAGTCCTCGCTCTGGCCAATGAGGTCTGAGCTTTCCTCCTTTCCAGCATCACTACTTGGAGGTGGGCCCCTTCCCAACTAGGCCCCCTTCCATGATCCTGCACCCCAGCCTTTTCATTCCATTTTCCACCTGAACTCTCCTGCCGCTGAGCAGGCTCTAACACATTTAAAGGATGCCCTGGCCTTATGCCAAGCATCCTGCTTGGGGATTAGTCAGGGTCCCCCCAAGTGTGCAGGCCAACCCCTCCTCACAACCGCCCACTGCTTCTAGAATCTTTTCTAAGATTCCACAGCAGGTAGAGGTATCAGGGAACTGACCTGCAGAGCCTCTCAGCCCTGACATGAATTTAACCCTGGTAACGATTACATACAGGCTGCTACTTAGCCCTCCTAACAATTGAACACTAGCTCCCCCTAGCTATCTAGAGGGGCGCTACACTTTCAGCTCTTTACATAATATTCATATGAGGTTTTCCGCTTTAAAACTCTACAGGTTGTAGTGAGAAGAGATTAAAGAAAATCAAAAAGCCCCCAGTCTAATCAGTGTGTAGCATGAGAAAGCTTTCTTCCTTTTCAATTGTACAGATAAGTGGTAAGCAAACATAGCTTGAATCAATATATTAACAAGAGTAAGGGTACATCATGGAAAACTCCATATAAGCTACAAAAATGAGATATTCAGACAGGCTCAAAGATGGGATAACTCCCAGGCATACCCTCAGGTGGAGTCCTTATCACAAAGTGTCCTCTATATAGAAACATAAAAAGCTGTAAATGAGGACA